ATGTCACAGCGCTGAGTTTGCTGCATTTTATATTCATTCAAAAAGAATTTCTCTGACTAGTGACTTGACATGGGTCGTCTCAAATTTACTCAACCTCGGTACTGTTTGTAGCCGGGCTGGTCTTCGTGTAAACTAGGGGGAAAGAGAGGCTCTCCACTGAGTTAGCGTGGACTTTAGACCCTTCTTCCTAACTTTAGATCCCTTTCTTTCCTTCAAAGATTGTGACTCTCCAACCTGGAAACCACTACAAATCGAATCCTGACCAGAGTCAATACAGAAGAGCATCACCTGGGCATCCCTGTTACACAGCTGATTGATTATCAAGGATGTGGAACGTACATCCTAGGAGAGTAGCTGCCAACCTGAGAAGCGGCCCCAATCAGGAGGCACCAGAAATTGATACAAAATGAAAGGGGGAAAAAAAAAGAATCATGGTTCCTGGGAGGGACCATGAATAAATGATGCTCATGGCCATTTCCAGTCCTTGCTCAGGTTGGCTCTCTTTAGGGGAGGACCGCTTTCCACATCTCACCTGTAATTACCATTTTTCAAATCACCACTTGGGTTTTATATCCTCCACAAAGCCCTCATGACTCTTTCTGGATTCACTCCTTCTTTCTGTCCGTGAAATCCTACAGCATTGACAAACCTGGCTCCCACAGTCTTATACTTCGTTACAGATTTTTTTAAGTGCTTGCTGGACTCATTTTTCCAATCGGATTTTAAGCTTTTTAAGGACAGAGACTTGTAAAATGTGAATGGAGCACCAGAGACACAGTAAGAGTTTGAGAAATACTTGTTGAAAGACTCTCTGATTTTTGTACACTTTGGGTAAAAAATTATAGAATTTGAAGATATTTATCTAAAAGAAGATAACGTTCCATGAAAAGTTCCTTAAAGCCTTAAATTTGGTCACTTTATTTTCAAAAGGGCAAACTTCTTTTTAATATTTCTCTTAAAGCAGCATCATATTAGTGATTTTTCTCAAACTGTTGCTGGAGTCGGAGAAGGAAAGAGAGGCCAGTTAAGATTCTAGAGGTGGGATGTATTTAAACATGCTGAGAAGAGAGGGCTTTGGATGTTTGACCATTTTCTATAGTCATGGAGCTCAACAAAGTTTACCATTTGTATAGGAATCTTTTAGCTCTTGGACGGAAAAAAATCCCTTTCCTGTAAAACTTCATGGAATTTCTGCTTCCTGGCAAGGGCAACAGTTATTCATTGTGGATCTTGAAAACCTGTGACATGGTTGTCCAAATGGGCACCAAATAAAGCGAGAAAAGAAAAGGCTGAACTACATATTTTGAAATTAGGTTTGGTTCCAGGTGATGGGCTGGGCAGGCTGTGACTGGCACTGATGAGACCAACCCTTTACTCAGACCCAGGAGACCATTTTTGATCTAAAAACCTTATTATCCTCCAAACCAGCTGCCCAAGAAACAAAGGCACATCCAAGACCTTACTTCACATCCTGGATGACCACACACTCCACCTGCATCTCTATTTTGCCCAGCGATGGCGTTAGTCTTTTTCATTGAGCTTCTGTGTAGGGCCTTAATGGGGATGGAGATTGTATGTTTGAATCGAGGTCCTTTTTCTCTGGATGATTTTGGTCATCTTGCCTGCTCCCTTTTAATCACCTGGACCTGGTCTAGTGACCAACATGTGCTCCTAGGAATACATCTTGTATTGGAAGGGTCCTTTGTTACAATGGGACTCTGAAGTGAGGCACCAACTCTGTGGGAAGGGTCTCCAATTATTTTAACTCAGTAACTTAACTAAGCTTCCGTGATCGTAACAACTAACGTTTATTGAGCACCTACTACCCGCCAGGCCTTCTTCAAGCACACAGCAGAATCATTTCATTTGATACTCACAATGCTGCTAAGAGATATAAATTATTATTATTCTACTTTTGCAGATTAGGAAATTGAGCACATCAGGGTTTGATAAATTGGTCAAGGCCACACAACCAGCCCACAGCGAAACCGATCTGCTTTCCCTCTGCCCCAGATCTCCCCTCTTCAGTCTTCTCCTGTCAACTGAGGGCACAACCATCCCTTCAGTTACTTAGGCTAAAGCCCTCGGAGCCATTCTTGATGACTCTCTTCTCAAACCCTACTACAGATGTTTTGGAAAATCCATTAACTTTGCCTTCAGGATATATCTGACTCTGACCCTAACCTCTTCTCTCATCTCCATTGCTTCCTCCTGAGTCAAGCCACCATCATCACTTTAGTCTGAAATAGTACCATGCGCCTCCTAACTAGTCACAGTCCTTCCATCCTTGTCTCCCCATGGGCTGTTCTTGCAGCCGGAGGAGTGATCTTTCAAAGGAAAGTCACACTGGGTTGCACCACTGCAAAAGCCAAAGTTCTCACAAGACCCCGCACTCTCCATTACGTACTGCCAACTGCTCGCGACCGACCATCAGCCCTCTTGCTTCTCCTTAAACACACCAGGTGTCTCTGGCCATGAGCTCTAAGCACCAGGCCTCCCTGTTTGGCATGTTCTTCCCCGAGTCGCCCCACAGTGGACTTCAGATCCTCTTTTCAAATGCTGCCTTCTCAGTGTGTCTATTTACAGTTCAAACCCACTCACTCACGCAGTACCAAATCCTCTTCCTCTGCTCCATTTTTTTCTATAGCACATATTACTTCTTAACATAGTGTCTAATTCATTAATGTTAATTGTTCACTGTCTGCCTTCTCTCCCCGCATCCCCACGAGATAGAGATTTTCGTCTGTTGTGTCCTCTGATGTCTCCCGAGCACCCGGGACAGGGCCGATCTAGCACATTGAGTGTGATCAGTGAATACTTGTTGAATAAATGAATGAATGGGCTTGGATCTCAAGTCTTAGGGTGCTTGTAATTTTGTCGGAGACATGCCGCATTCTCCAGCGAGAGGGAAATAATGCAGAAGACATTATGAGGTGGTGCCGAAGGGTCTGTTGAACAGAAAACTTAGTGACGTGCACGCAGATGAAGGAGATGTGAGATGTAAGTGCAGGCTGGAGTGAGCCGGGAAGATACAGAGAAACTTTACTGGGAGTTCTTCTCCCTGTGCGGTATATTAGTAAGGGCACCGTTTCTTCTCGACTTAAGAGGCCCAGGACTTGAGTGTGTGGTCCTGCCTCTGCCACACCACACGCTTGGTCCCTAGATGGTTCCCCTTCCCACCTCCCTGCCCTCGTGGCCTCAGGGCATGGCTGCTTCTCTGGTACCGTCAGGTCAGACATAATGAGAAATACAGCGCTACATTGTTGGATCATTCAAAAGCAGGGAGGAATCTGGAAGGGAGTTATTAGATCTGGGGTATTTTAAACATTTCCTGCAGGTTGGCAGGTTCCAAAAAGGGTAAGTTTCTAAAAGAATCAGGCAGGGTACGCTTGGAGAAATGTCCCTGCTCTTGCATACAGTATTCATATCTGTCTCCACTGGGGGATGCCTGAGACGTGAACATTTCTCAATGGTGACACTCCCCTGTGACAACCTTAGTCTCTTGGTTTGGTCAAGTAGAACTTTCCCATTTTCTGTACCCACTTCACTGGCTTACCCAGCTTTTATAAGAAAACTGGCTTGCTCCTTACATAGGATGGAAAGTGTGTGTGTGTGTGTGTGGTAGGTAAGACGGAGGGAGGCGGGGGTGGGGGGGGTCGTTGTTCGTACCATTCGTTGGCGGCCGTCGGTCCCGTCCTCGTCTTTCGTTTGGGACGGGAAC